ATTGGGTTCAGGTAGGCGTTCTGCTAAAATTGGAGCTACTAACATTGGAATCTCGTCGTCTGACACTTTCTAAGGCTGAGCCTGCTTGGAGGGTTCACCCTCGTGGTCAGAGGGCGCAGACGAGCAGAACCTTTTACCAGGTTCCCCAGCAAACCTCCTCATTCAATTTTAGGTAGTAAAATCACGAAAATTTGAAAAGTTCGACTATGGCGAGGAAGGAAACATGCGGGAATATGGAACGGTAAATATTTCCGTGTGAGAGTCTCATTTTTAGGGATTACTTGATTTTTTCAGAAAGATCCGTACCATTATGATGTGCGAAAAATTCGTGCGCCGACGTATCTTTACTGGAGCAAAGATGACATCCTTGCCGACACCGAAGATATACGGTGGGGATCATTCCTGGAAAAGTGGCTGTAGATAGCCGAGGGCAGAAGGAGGACGCCCTGCTAGTTCGATTTTGGGTACAAAACATTTACAAATATTTCTCCGAGGTATTAGGTTGTCCGGAAAGTTCTGCACGTTTTGTGTTACTATTTTTTGAACATTCATTGCTGATTAAAAACTCATTCTCCCTTGCGTCTCAGTAGTACATCCTGAAGAGAATTCTTTGCGCTATCTGATGGTATAATTGCCGTTTCACCATTGCTTGATAAACCCCTTTTTTAAGATTTTTTCAAGCATGTGAGCACTTCGGACGATTTTTTTCTTCGACTATAAATTGGGGCAATCCGCAATCGAAACAGCTCAACAAATTAACCAGGTGTGGGGGCCCAATAGTGCTAGAGAAAGCACTGTGCGGCAACAAATTTCGTTCTGGAGATTTCAGCCTTGAAGATGAACCTCATAGCGGTCGACCTAAAGCAATATCTGACGAGGATTTTAGGGGATTTTGGAGGCTGACCCATCCCAAACAGTTCGAGAGATTGCAGAAAAGCTAGGCGTTGGCAAATCCACTGTTGCAGATGGTCTGGAACGCATTGGGAAGGTGAAAAAACTCGACAATTGGGTGCCCCACAATTGGAGTGACCGGCAGGAATCGGCACGTCTCGAGGTTCCTTCTGCATTGCTTTTGCGCAGCAGAAACGACCTGTTTTTGGGCCGAATTGTCACCTGTGATGAAAAATGGGTCATGTATGATAACAGGAGACGTTCCGGGACCAGTGGTTTGATTCCTAGACCACGTCAAGCAATTTCCAGAGCGAATCCTCTACGCAAAAAGCATTCTGGTGTCACAGTGTGCGTGGCCAATCGGCCTGGTGTGATCCCGCCCAATAACTTTTTATCACAGGCAACAACAACATCACAGCAGCAGAACCCTACTGTGAAGGAATCGACGAAATGTACCGAAAATTTTGTCAGAGCCAACACTTATCAAAAGAAAGGGTCCGATTTCTTTGCATGACAACGCCCGCTCACACGTTTCACAAATCACTATCCATAAATTGAACGAATTGGGAGCTGTACTGAAGCTTGCCTACCTCAACCGCCCATATCTCTTTAAGACCTTTCGCCCTATCGACTACCACCTTTTTTTCTAACATTTTTAGCAATTCCTTGCTGGAAAAACTTCATCATAATCACGCACCAGGCAAAAAGCCTTCATTGGATTCGTGGACTCCCGAACCCACCCAGGTTTTTTTCCTTTGATGAGACATTCTCGACTGCTGACACATTGGCAACAAGTTGCTATTCGAATGCGCGCTACGCTTAATCTCTCGCAATCGAAACCCATCCGATGGAGTGGCCTAACACGAAAGTTATTGATTCCGTTCTAACGGTAGTACCCCATCTCTGCCAAAATCGTGCCATGAACGCATCTCCGACCGGACAACCTAATAAAACAACAGCCATCAATATCGAGCAGTAAGAAGCGCTATTCTGCTAATACAACTGTCCATGACAAAAATTGATAAATAGAGAAATGTGGTCGCCAAAACTTCCTGCGTGCGGTCGCGTGGCGTAAACAGGAGCCAGTCAACTTTGGCGCAAAGAATTGTAGATAGCACCAAGCCTACTACAAAATCTGAAGGATTGGAATGCCCAACAGAATTTGATATTTCGGCGTGGCAGTAATATTTCACGATTTTCATTGCCGCGACCCGACCGCACGAACCGAAACATTCGTTTTTGTTGAAAGGTCGCCAAAATTTCAGAATGCAGGGTAACTTTCCAGGCTAAAAATCAGCAGTTCTGTAGTTCAGAAGCTCTATAGTGTAACCTCTTTTGATCAGGTGGTTCAATAATATGTAACAATTTTCAGAGAGGCGATATTAGAAAAGATGAATGAAACGATCCGGGGCAGTTACGAGTTACCGCATTACTCGCATTTGGACTTCATCTATGCACTGAACGCCACCAACGATATTTACCAGCCCATTATCCATCGCATTCGAAAGGATTTTGACTCGCGAAGAATGCTTGTCAATAATAGAATTCATAAATAATGTAATAAATAAGTTTTCTGCAGCACATTGTTGGTTATATGCACTTGTGTACACATCTCAGCTACTCGCATGGCTGAGACGCGTGCGGTCACTGCGCGGCGGACGAGGCGTCAATGCATAGGCTATGCCGCGCCGCAATCGCACACGGTAACGGCGCAGCTCGAAAGTCGACAGGATATCGATCGATGAGCCATGCCGCGCCATAACCGCAAAAAGCACAGCGCACAGTCGACAAGATATCGACCAGTGGGCTACGCCGCGCCGCAACCGCACGCGTCCCCGGCCAGAGTTCCGCAAAATGACTTGTAGATGTGATCCTTGCACGCATCTTATCAGTAAATTTCGGTCTCTCATATTTTGGATATATTTTCACGAAACCGATCGATAATACGACGTCACCAATGAAAGAAATTCAACAGTTTATTAATGTGAGATTCACAACGGTGTCGAACAATAAAACAAAAGCCAGAAACTGACCAGATTTCGAGTTTGGTAACCCATTTTGGGATGAGTACAGACTAAGACAAAGATAAGAGAAGTTAGGGAAAGAAAGCGAGAAAGTCTGGCAGCCAGCGTACAGACAACCAGACATGCGCTAATCTGCGTCTCTGACATCGGGATCGATAAATGAATCATCAGCGGGGTTTACCTCTTTGCATACAAACAC